TTATTATTTATATTTAAAATGACAATGTCTTTACACGACTGACCATCTTATATTATTTTTATTTTTTACTTTATATGAGATAACTACTTTATACTTTATAGTTAAGTTGGCTTAAATAACTTTATTTTTTTTGAATTAAAACTAATAGGTCATCTAATTTTAATTATAAAAATAAATAAAATTATTTATTTATTTTGTATGTATAATATATATGTCAAATCAAAGTTCATCAAAACATGATTAATTTGATATATTATATACTAATACAACACCCTGTATTACACGGGTGCTTGTTGAAAAATTATTCTTAAATTTTAAAATTAATGAGAAAACTATATTAAATTTAGTTTACTTTTTTAAAAAAAAAATAAATTAATATATGTTTTAGAATGATATGTGTTACTTATAACTCACACGTGTTATATTATATTAGTTTTTATAACTTATATCATATAACTATTTGAAATATAAATATATTAGTTAATAAATAATATTATTTTTCTAATTAATATTAACAATAATTTTATTATTGTTATAAAGATAAATATAAATTATTTTTTTATACATACAAAATGGATGTTAAATCAAAGCTCATCAAAAGGAGATTTATTTGATATATTACATATGTAAAACTGATAAAACATACAAAAGTTATTAACTTTTAAAATATATATACAATTCAATAGTTATAATAAGGAATGATATTAAAATACAATTAATACATGTAACATGACCATAAATAATCAACATATTTATGCTAATCCGAACCTAATTATTTTTTATTTAGAATTAAATTAAATTTTACCCAAGCCTAATAACGAAGCATTTAATTTTGCTACATAGGATTCCGAAGCACCAGATGCAGCCACGTAGGCTCAACGCGTTCTGTATTAATATATAGGGAGGATAATCCTCCCTATATATAATTCCAAAATGCGCTGAGCCTGCGTGGCTGCTTCTGGTGCTTCGGAATCCTATTTGGCGAAGAATCATGCTTCGCAATTAGGTTTGAACAAATAATATTGATATATTAATAATTAATTATCTAGGTTCGGGTATTCCATATATATTATTTAGCTAACTTAAGTATTTTAATATCACTTTTACTAATATAACTCTTTAATTCTTTGTAATTTTACATAATGAGGCACTAAGTGACTAATATATCTCTAAATTTTGATTTGCTTCCTTCAATAAGCTATTGAATTATAAATGTATTTTAAAAATTGATAATTTTATAATCATTATCGGTTTTACATATATAATATATCAAATTAATCATCTTTTGATGATCTTCGATTTGACATCCATATTGTATATATGAGATAAATAAATTATATTTATCTTTATAATAATAAAAAATAATAATATTTATTAAAATTCATTAGAAAATAAAATTATTTCTCAATTGATATATTTATATTTAATGTAGTTATATATTGTAAGTTAAAAAAATTAGTATAATATAACACAAGTAAGTCGCACAAATAAAAAGTTTCATAATAAATATATAATAACATATATTCTTATAAAAAGTATTTAAATTTTCAAACTACTTTTTCTCATTAATTTTAGATTTTAAGAAAAAATTAGCAAGCACCCGTGTAATACACGGGTGTTGTACTAGTAATTATTAATAAATAAAAAATTTATTAGCTTTTAAATATATTTATAATTTAAGTTAGTAAATTTGTTATAATTTTAAAAGAAATATGAGAAAGAAAGAAAGATTGGAAAAAGAAAAGTTATACCTTAATAAACCACATCTAAAATATGAAATGTAATAATGCTCTTACAGAGAATCATAAATATCCAATATATTTATGGTTATTCCAAAACTAGTTGCTTTTGGATTTCAGATAAATTAAATTCATCATTTAGGTTCGACACATTCGAAAATTATATATATAGTAGAGAATTATATAGATTATAGTAAGCTCAAGCACAAAACTTATTTTAAAATAAATTAATTTGTAATATTGTATTCATTTTAGTATAATAATTATTTTTTAAACATACAAATTATATGTATAACAATAAAAACCTATTTTAGTGTATAATTTTGCTAAAAATAAAAATAAAAATAAATATTGCATCTAGCGTTATTAAATTCGTAACCGTCTGATCCACGTATACGGCTATTAGTCGGTCAAGCATCTAGGCAAAAATCGTGGGAGCCGAGTTGTCGCCTAACACCTTACAACACCTAAGACAGTACAAGAAAGTGGGTACATTCCATTGGAAAATTTCTTTTGAAATTTAGTATATTTTCAGTTGAAATAGCTATTTCAACTAATAATTCTACGCACAAAACTTCCGTGGGAAAAATGACTGTCGGAATTGCTAAAATCCGATGGAAAGTTCTAGGGATATAAATTCCTATAGTCATTCCAACGGAAAATATCCATTTGAAATCCTGAACTATTGGAATATAATCCAACACTTATTCATCACTTATTTCGAATGGTTATTTAGCCGTTGGAATTGGTACCAACGACATTTCCAACAGGACATGTTTGTTGGAATATTCCAATGATTCTTCCTACGTGTGTGAAAGAAATGTGGCAGAATTCCCAAGAAAAAATACTGTTGGAATTCTCTAGGAATTTGCCCTTAATATTATCATATATCTAGCACAAAATCATATATCCCTAATTTAAAATTTTTAAATAAAAAAATATAAAAAACTGATAAAAAAAAACATATTAACCGAGGAAATAGAAAGAGATAGTCATACACAAAAACAAATCACAAAATATAGATATATCATTTCCAAAACATGGCATGTTTATCTCCAAATTCAGTAAAATGATATTTCAATCTTCCAATGCCAAAAGCATAACCATCATTCTAATGTCAAAAGCATTAGTGACATGATAACCATTATTCTCCAAACTTGTCTAAAATTTGCGACAAATGTTAAGATATAAAATGAAAAACTCCTAAATGCCGTTGTAATCATCTTCAAATTCTGCCTCAGCCCTACAATCATCGTCATGATTAGTGGGAGGCACTGCTGAAGAAGACACCTCTTGATTAGTATTGTGAAGTTTCTCGATTAGGCTGCAAAGTGAGGACATTTCACTCTCTAACTGCAAGTTTTGTTGCTCCAATGCACTCATACTATCGTTATATTAAGCTTTTGGACGTCAATCACACAAGAACCTGAACATTTAGAGCTATAAAAAGACACCTCGAACCCGAATCCCTAAGCTAACCCTTTCTAGTTACAGCCTCTATTTGCTTCATAAAAGCATGTTGAGTCGTCAATGTTAGTAATGCCTTGTGAAAAAATAAAAAAATTGAAAATTCTAAAAAAAAAATCTACATTTCAACATATCATAAAATGGGATTAATTATTATTATTATTGACTTTTATTTATCATGTAACTCTATAGATGTATGCAAATTTATCAATAAAATGGTTAATTAGGCAACAAGTTCTAAAAATAATCTTAATTAAGATTATTTTATAAACAAAAATACATTAATGAAGATAATATATCATTCACATACATATATGATAAAACACCTAGCTTGGCTAGAGTTCCGAATCAAATCATTTTTCGCGAGCCGTACGAGGAGAAAACTTCCCACGTTAGGTTGCTTATATAATAACCAGATGTGTCCCAGTCACTGCTGCAGCTGCACGAGCCCTTCCCGCATGCCACAAATGACCTACGAAGAAGAAGAATCCTAGAACAAAATGAGAGGTAGCTAACCAACTTCTGGTCGTAGGTTCGAATCCTACTTGGGGAGATTTGATTCATTCTGAATTAATGCAATGACATTACAAATAATCTATATACAATTCTCGAATGTGATGAGCTTACGTAGCAAACTCACATGATTCGAGTTCCTATTTGTCATAATTTTATGTTTTGGATTGATATATAATTAGGCCCGGTGCCATGTCAAAAGTCAATTAGGCATGGTTATTTTCATAATGAACTAAATATTTTATTTATTGAAACAACTCTTATTTACTTCATTCTATATTTTTCTTCCATAGTTACGATAATATTTTTCTTTTTATTTTATTTTTTTCTATTACGTATTTTCACTTAAATCAATCATATTAATTTATTTATCAATCTTCCAATATTCACATATTACTCATTTCGAAGATGAAGTAATATGATATTATTCTTTTAAAAAAGATATTTGTTTACAATTTAATTGGTATGTTGTCGATCTAACAAAAATATATAATTATTAAAACTATCCAAATTCTAAAATTTTATATAAATTGAAAAATATATAATTGACATCCAAAATCGGAAGTTATATACGGATTTTTAACTATTACAATTAGAAAATATGGTTTGACAATTTAATCAAAACACAAATTATTTTAGTTTTGTTAAATAAAATGAAAGATTTAATATCTTATATATATGATTTTTAATTCAACGCTACCTAATACACGGGCGTTGTATTAGTATTGTATGTACGAACATCAAGATTAAGCAAATTTTGTATGTGACTTCTTAATTCAAAACTATTGATTCAAAAGCAAAATGTATAATAATTGAAATATGATACTTATATTGCATATTGATTTCTACCTAAATTTGTATCACTTTACCTATACTAATAATGCTCCTACTCCATTGAACATTTTACCATATTATCTCTATTCAAAATATATATCTTTAAACCATATATGGAGTCATTGGATGACTCCCTTATCGAGTCATCCATAACTTTAATTATATACTGACACGACACATGTTCAATATATATTTATAGCAGGACACGTGTTACCATTTGTAAATAACTATAAAAGACTCCGTAAGTCGAACTATCCGATTTCTCTATAGCAAAACCGAACATATTAAAACTTAGGGAATCCATTTATTCAATTATTACAACCACAAACAATCACACAAACCCAGCTAACAAAGCTTTTCATCAGCCACAATAAGCAGCCTATATATGGATCTCAGTCCTTATTATAGTTCCAATATATGGATACACACACACCCACACAAACTTAATTAGGCAAAGCTGATTTGATACTTTGGCTGCCTGTTGGGCAGGAACACCCCGAAATGCCTCTCGTACTCCGGGTTCTTTTGGTTCTCGTCGAACAGCGCGAAAATGTACGTCTCGATCGCCCGCCCGGGCCTCCTCGGCGTCCCGTTCCTCACGCGCTGCACCAAGTTCGTGTTGTAAGTCCTCGCGTATTCGACGGTGGTCGTGTCCCCTCCGGCCGATGGCCACCCGCTCTCCGCCACCACGACCTCCAACGACGAGCCGCCGCTCCTCTCGAGCGCCGCGTAGAGCGAGTCCAGTATGGCGTAGAATAGGTTTTGGTACCGGACCCCACCGGCCACGACACCGTCGGGGGACGTGAAGAGCGCGTAGCGGAGGTCGATCTGCGCTCGGTTCCCGATGTACGAGAAGTAAGGGTAGATGTTGGCGAGGAGCGGGGCCCGGTTGTCGACGAGGTGGCGGATAATCGGGTTGATGTATGAGGCGACGTCGGGCCGGAAAGCGCCGTCGGCGGGCGGGTAGCTCACCCCGATGAGGCCCGTCTCGACCACGGTCGAGACGCGGACGCGGCCTCCGAGACCAGCCGAGTTGACCGCGTTTTGGATGTTTCGGAGGGCGGGGAGGACGAAGGAGACGAATTGGGATGTGTCGCCTCTTACGGGGCTCACCTCGTTCCCAACCGCAATGTACCTAAGACGAAAAGTAAAAAAAAAACAATTAATCAACTGAAAATTGACTTTCAATAGTTATTATATTCTTTCTTTAGCAAAATATTAACATATTATGATTTTTTTCCCCGGTTCGCCAACGAACCTGAACCGGACGTTGGGATAGTTCCGAACATTGTTGCGGACCCACGTGTCGGCATTCGCCTGGCTGGCAGCCACGTTCTGGAGGTCGGTATTGGGGACACCGAGGATGACCTCGATGTTGGTCCCGCTTAAGGCCTGCAGTGTGGGGCCATGCGGGTCATAAATTCTCACTCGCCGGATGTTGTTTTGGTTCAGTAGAGCCACGACTTCCGATGGGTTGGGCAAGTTGTTGCCGAGCCTTCCGTAGCAGACGCCTGTCTGGGCACCTGCAATACCAACACGTGTACATTAACGTAATAATCAATTTGGACTACTGTCGAACATCAGAGAGAGTACAGAAATTTTCGATAACGGGCTATTTTTAGGCGCGAATTCGAGGCAAACCTGTGAAATCCAGGCTGGCCATCACAAGTATGGCACATAGAGCAATGGTAGGGATGAACTGATTCTTTGAGTAAGCCATGATTATAACCTTAACAGAAACAAACTTAGTTGATATGAAGCATATTTGTGTCACAAATTGATGCCATTTATATAGTGGTTGTACACAAGGGGCTCTGGTTGTAATTTCAGCTTCATTAATGGCTGCTAATCAAATTTGTTTTTCCTGCCAAATTTGAATCTCTCTCTGTGGAAAACTTGGGACAAGCAAACAAATTAGTGGAAGAAAAAAAAAAAATTGAAGGAATTAATTAGCTGTTACACATGTATGGTTTAACTTGTTATTATGGGCTTAACATTTTATCATTATCTTTGAAAAGTCTCTTTGAATTATTATAGTGGTTGTTTTTTTTGGTCTGTTGTGCAAGACGTTTTGCAACAACTAACTTAACTAGCAGCCATGTCCAAATGTCCTCGTTAATTATATTAATTTTTCTGGTTTATAATATTTAAACACTTGGGGGGTCTTGGCTGCAATTAATTCTAAGAAATACTTGTCAAAAACCTATTGCAAGGCATTGTCCATGACTTGGATCGATTGGGTCAAACATAATTTTTTGACCCGGACAGCGCGATGGGTCCGGCCCGAGTGGGTCGACCCAAGTCCTGATCGATATGGAGCTAATACCAGTCCGGGTGGATACTTCGAACTGGTGAACATATGACCCGTCGACCCGTGCAGTAACTCGCCAGGTCAAACAAGTTGAACTGGTCAAGATTTTTTTTTTTAAAATATGTAATTTTATTTAGAAAATGAAAATTATGTGTGTATATATATATATATATATGCGGTAATAAGCATAAATGATGAGATATATTATTAAAATTTTGATATATAAAATTTGCACGATATATTTATTTATTTTTCCTTTAGATCACTTCATAGTTCACACTGGGCTCGAAGCTTAATGGATCAGAAGCAATGTGACCCGACTCGGCCGCATGTCATTATCGATAATTAAATTATTCGCCAAACTTTGACCATGACTTTGATGTAACCATTGTGAGGCAGAAAATTTATGAGTAATCTAAACCTTATCTTACGAATATTATATTGAATAGTAGCTATATATATATAAACCTTATATAGTTCAATTCATAAATGCACAATGTACTTAGAAGTGAAAAACAAAAATACCTAATCGATTTTGGTGTCTTAATATGCTCAAACTGTATTTTCGAATCGAACTATTCGCGAACTGAATTCAGTTTAACTCGAACTTGGCTTTCGGTTTAGCTTATCGAACAACTAATCTGGATCGCTTATCAAACAACCTCGTCCGCAAACAATCGTGTTTACTTATTCTATTATTACTTAAAAGTTTGAATGAGCAATAGAGCCAAACATGTTCGTGAACGCACAAATTCATGAGCAACTCGTTATTAACAAGCACAAGTTCAATCAAAGCACTCGACTTAAATCAACTCGAATAAGACCATAATTATAAGATAATGTTCTAACAAATAATTAAGTTTTGTTCTGAGAATTGTATATAATACTATTAATAAAAACTTCAAATTGTATTAAAAAAATAGTGTTTTAAAACTTCAAATTAAATCTAAATTAAATGGTTTTATGAGTGTTGTTAATTGTAGACTTAATTTGATAGTTTTATAACATTTAGGTCCCGAATTGAGAAAAAAAATCTTTCAGGCCCAGCTTACACATCTTTCAGGACTTGTATTGAAAAACTCCTACTATTTTTTAACAATATACGATGACATTTTCAGTGGTATACAATGCTATCGTATATACGAAAGATATTATATGTATGGTGTTGTTATTTTCAAATATGAGTTTTAATTAGAAATAACATGAAGCATAGTTTAAATCATAGTATTATACACAATAATAAAAAAAATCAATAAGAAATGATAAATCTAACGGATCTAGGCTGGTGGAAGGCTAGGAAAACAATGTACCGTGGAAGAAGATATTATCGGCTAAGACCTTGACTTTGTGGTGAAGAGGAAAATAAATTCGCATAAACACAAATTATGACTTTTCAATCCTATCTTAAAGCAATTCATATTTTTACGATGTAAAGGAAGTTATGAACCTATTTATGGGGAAATGTCTATGGTCCCGTTACGAAATCATTCCTTCAAATTTGTAACCGTTAGATCATCCAGTAACCAACGGTTACATATTCTGACGAAATGGCCTCATAACGGGACCGTAGCATCTCCCCTATTTATGATAGGTTGTGACAACTTAAGAGCAATGGTTTTTTTTTTTTTTCCTTTTTCTTTTTCTCTAATAATGTTATTTTGTGAAAAACTTTTGATATAATGAATAATACAAATGATGCATAAGTATAGGAATAGACTTTAAAATTGATGTATTTTTATAATTTTGAAGCTTATGCAATGCACAAAACGACGACTTTAAAATTGATTTATAGTTTTAAAATTGATGTGATGTGTAAAAACGTTAAACCGAAATGATTTTTTGGCGTCAACGGTGAGAAAATAATCTTGTGCCCCATTGCAGACTTGCATGGAGGAGGACAAGCAGATCAAAACTAGTGTAAATAGTTGAGCAAAACTAGCGAACAAAACGTACTCCACGGGACATAATATCATTCTAGTCAACATAATTATTTCGTAAAGTCTTCCTAAGAGTCGGACATATTCTGAACTTTCACCATACCCTGATTTCCTATTTCCTATTTTCTACAGCATTTGATCAAGAAAATGTTAGTCGAGCAGCAGATAATACCTCGAAAAAGTTATTTTTTTAGTTTCTAAACTTCTCTATTTAAATAAGTTTCGTTTGATAGAACGAGTTTTTTAAAATGATCGAACTTATCTCATAAGTTAATTATAGTAGCTTTTCAAATAAGCTCGTTGAAATTTTTATTTCAGCTAATTTTACTAAACACTTGTACCGTATAAGTTAACTTTTCATCTATAAGTCACAAGCTATAAGCTATAGACCCAAAAATCATTTATAACCTATAAGCTAGCTTATTAGCTAGTTTTACTAAACATAATTAAACATAATCATAATCAGACACATTGCCGATAAGAGGTCTAGATACATCCTCATTATCTTCCCTTCATTACTTTCCGTTTCCTTTTTCATGAGTTAGAAAAAAAAAAA